GAGGGCAGGGATGGTAATCGGACCCTAAGCCTGAAACCTCAAGAAGAAGAACAAGACATCTGCTAGTCGGATTGAAACTTGTTTCTGGTGCAAGAATGTTGTTGGGATTGAGACTTTTTAGAGCCGGAAAGTTCGACCTTGGGGCTCAATGCGGCTGCGGCTGCAGGGTTTCGTGCCCAGGGCATGGGACTGTAGAGAAGTACAATCACATGGTGCAGTAAGCTGTAGTCTTTAGATTTTGCATCAAGCGGCCACCCTACGAGTCATCATGTCGATTTGCGTTGATGTGCATTTGCTGAGTGGCAAGCATGCCTCTGTGGAAGTGGAAGCGGATGCATCTGTTGAGTCATTGAAGCAACGTGCCCAGAGTGCCCTGGGCGCGGATAGAGGGCGGCTGCTGAGTTCTTCTGGAGAAGTGCTGGGCGGAGCACAAACTATCACAGAAGCGAAGTTGACGAGTGGAGACGTGCTCACCCTGCATGTGAACCAACAAGTCCAGCTTAAAGCTGCCAAAAGCAGTGACTTCTCTGCGTTCGCCGCTCTCTTGGGTAATGGTTCTGTGGTCTGCTGGGGAAATGCCGACAGCGGTGGCGACAGCAGTGCCGTCCAGGATCAGCTGCGAGATGTGCAACAGATCCAAGCTTCTTACGCGGCATTTGCTGCAATCCTGGGTGACGGATCTGTCGTCACCTGGGGCGATGCCCGCTTTGGTGGCGACTGCAGTGCGGTACAGGATCAGTTGCGAGATGTGCAGCAGATCCAAGCTTCTGATCAGGCATTTGCTGCAATCAAGGGCGATGGATCTGTTGCCACCTGGGGCGACAGCCACTATGGTGGCGACAGCAGTGCGGTACAGGAGCAGCTGCGAGATGTGCGGCACATCCAAGCTGCTGATGTGGCGTTTGCTGCAATCCTGCGCGATGGATCTGTGGTCACCTGGGGTGGTCTCCGCGGTGGTGTCCTCAGCAGTGCGGTACAGCATCAGCTGAAGAATGTACAGCAGATCCAAGCTGCTTCTACTGCATTTGCTGCAATATTGGTTGATGGATCCGTGGTCACCTGGGGTGTTGCCCGTTTTGGTGGCGACAGCAGTGCGGTACAGGATCAGCTGCGAGATGTGCAGCAGATCCAAGCTTCTCATTACGCATTTGCTGCAATCCTGGGTGATGGATCTGTCGTCACCTGGGGCGATGCCCGCTTTGGTGGAGACTGCAGTGCAGTACAGGAGCATCTGCGCGATGTGCAGCAGATCCAAGCTTCTTATGCGGCATTTGCTGCAATCCTGGGTGATGGATCTGTCGTTACCTGGGGTGGTGCCTACTCTGGTGGTGACAGCAGAGCGGTACAGGAGCAGTTGCGAGATGTGCAGCAGATCCAAGCTTCTGATCAGGCATTTGCTGCAATCAAGGGCGATGGATCTGTGGTCACCTGGGGCGACAGCCACTATGGTGGCGACAGCAGTGCGGTACAGGAGCAGCTGCGAGATGTACAGCAGATCCAAGCTTCGCGTGACGCATTTGCTGCAATCCTGCGCGATGGATCTGTCGTCGCCTGGGGTGATCCCGAGTATGGTGGCGACAGCAGTGCGGTACAGGAGCAGTTGCGAGATGTGCAGCAGATCCAAGCTTCTTGTGGCGCATTTGCTGCAATCCTGGGTGATGGATCTGTCGTCACCTGGGAGAATGCCGATTTCGGCGGCGACAGCAGTGCTGTTCAGGATCAGCTGCGTGATGTGTAGCAGTCGGGAAGTGAGAAGCCGCTTGCCTCCGTGGGTTAAACCCTAAACCCTAAACCCCAAAACCCTAAACCCCAAACCCCTAAACAACCCTAAACCCCATGAGGTGCGAACGGTCTTCGGCTACGGCTCCTTGATCTTCCGCCCGGGCTTCCCGTACCAGCGCATGTACCCGGCCTCTGGGCACTGAAGCCTTCAGGAATCTTAGGTTGGGTTTGGAGTTTCAGGTTTAGGGTTTAGGGCTTCAGGTTTAGGGTTTCGGCTTTCGGGCTTTGGGGTTTCAGGTTTAGGATTCGGGCATCAGGTTTAGAGTTTAGGGCTTCGGGCGTTAAGGTTTCACAGTTTAGGGCTGAGGGCTCTGGGGTGTAGGGTAAGGAACCTTTCGTATGCACATACAAGCATACATGTATACACATACAGTACACACACACAAACACATCAATGTTGATGTGCATCACAATACGTATACGGGTATATATATATATATTTTTTTTTTTGTATCTGTCTCCCAAAAAACATGCTTTCCCTTTGAGCGGCGATCCAGCAAGAGCCCAGGCCTGCGTCCGAGGATATCTTCGCCGCTTCTGGCAGATGTCCTGCGATCACCGAGGGACACCCGAGTTCCCAGGTCGGTTCCTAGGTTTAGGGTTTAGGGTTTTAGGTTCCTTCAAGGTCTCCTGTCAAAGTCCTTTAAAGTGTGTTCGTAAGAGTTCCTTTACGAGTTCCTTTTGGGTGTATTCCAGGGTTTCTTCAAGGGGTCCTCGAAGGGTTCATTAAGAATGTCTTTTTTGGGGCCCTCAACCCTAAACCCGAAACCTTACGGCATGGATGCCCGAGGAAAATCGCGGGCTAAGGGGTTAGAGGCCCTTGCAGGAAGGATCCTATCTTGTTGGGTGCAGCTTACTTCGGCTCCTTCAGTCCCTGTAGTCGTTCGCATGGCCATGTGGATCCCTACACCCGAATCACCTTTTCGGGTTTAGGGTTCAGGGTTTTCAGGGCTTTTAGGGTTTAGGGTTTGGAGCCCTAAACTTCTTTAACCCTGGAAGGCCGTGTGCTGGCCTTGCTGAGGAAGCAGGCACGAGCGTTACAAAGTGGTGGGCAACAAAGCTACCGCCCCATAATAAGGAACCCTTCTCTGATTATTAAGGCCCATACTTTATACAAGCCTTATAGTACGCCTTATAATTAAACAAAACCTTAGAGAAGCCCCTTTCAAGGGGACTAGAACTGGTCTCTGCTTCCTTCCTAGCAGCCTCTGAGCTCCATGTTGCACCGCCTTTTTAAGGTTCGTGTGTTTGCGATTTCGGAGGCCTTGGGTCTATCCGGACCCTAAATCACTTACCTCCTTTTATTCAGGACTTGTATAAAGAAATGACTTATATAGATACGTCGCAATAAGGAGGAGCCCCCAAAGGTAGGTTCTTTAGGGCCCAGGTCAAGTCTAGAGTTGCCAGGTGTTCAGGTCTCTGGTTCTTTCGGATTTAGCGTTTAGGGTCTAAGGGTTTAGGGTCTTAGGGTTTAGGATTTGAGGCTTTAGGGTTTAGGGTCAGGGCCTATTTGCAGGCTTTGTGCCAGATTGTGGTTTCGGGTTGTTTTTCTTATTCTGTTCGTATGCTCGCAGCATATCATAACAGAACCCATAGGCAGGCCCTAAGGCCCGAACCCAAACCCTAGCAACTTAGGGTTTTTTGGGGTTTAGGGGTTTGGGGGTTTAGGGGTTTGGGGGTTTAGGGGTGTAGGGTTTGGTACAACCCAGACATGCAGTTGGACATGAGAGCCCAAGAAAGCTGCCCCATGGCTTTCGGAGATCTTCACACTGTGTCGGCTCGACACAGAAAGGCTTTAATAAGTTTAATGTTTAGGGCCTTGGTACTGCAGATTGCTGAAAATCAGACTGAGGGGCGCTGTAAGCCGGGGACGGTCAAGGCTCTCTACGAAGCTCGCGAACAAACCCAATCAAGCCTATCCTTGAAGAGACTCCTATCACAAACGCTGAATTTAGTTTAGACGCACTAATGTTGAAACCCTAAGCTCAAATCCCATCGAGAAGCCATGATGCATGTTCCTTGGTTTAAAAGCTCTAATTGTAGAGACCTTGATGTAGAAGCCTTGGTTTTGAAACCCGACAGCAGCTCAAACGTTGGCAAACTGCCTCCAGGATGTGGCGCAGGTCCAAAGCGACGAGGATGTTGTCCACGGCATGGCTTTCGAGGTAGCGCGGCTAGCTGAAAGCTGTATGTGTGGAACGCGGCCTGTTTCAGAGGTTTGCAGTTGCTTGCTCTCGTAGAACTGCTGTTGTTGCTAAACCCGAACCCTAAACCCCTAAACCCTGAACCCTAAAACCCTAAACCCTGAACCCTAAACCCTAAACCCCTAAACCTAAACCCCTAAACCCTGAACCCTAAACCCTCTACATCCACAATGTGGATTCCGCCGACCTTAACTGCTAGGAGGAAAAAGGTGCTTTAAAAAAAAACCCTCTACATTAAACCCTAAAGCTTCCCTGGCCCAAGCCTTCAACTGACACAGGTCGACGCAGCAGATTGGGAAGCTGTCCTGGAGACCTTGGACATCCGTGAGAGGCCTTAGTGCCCCTGAATGGATAGGACCTTAAGGCAAACCACAAGACCCTAAGGCCCCTAAACCTAAAAGGGGTAAAGAATTGAAGTGCAATGCCACAAGCACGCCGCAACCCAAGATTGTGTAGATCAATGCACGATGACAAATCCAGTATATCACCGTGCCACAGCATGACGAGACGGTATATGCAATTCACGACAGCATGTCCGAGAGATTACCAAGTTGTCATGGCCACTTTACAGACGAGGTTTGACAGAAGCAGAGCAACATGTAAGGTACCTGGCTTGACACAAGATGCAGCTAAGAGTATTTTTTGTACCATGGCAATGTACAACAAAGGACAGGTACCGGAACATTTACACAGAGCATAGCTTTGTCACGTCAGACTGCCATAATATAGGGCCTCTGAATATCTGCCAGCGCTATTCCTCCGGGTTTCCGGGTTTTTGGGGTTTCGGTCTCCTTTGACCCTTTCCTATTTGTCAAGGCCGCAATACTACCTGACGAAGATGATGCAACTGATGCAACAGGTATCCCGATTCGATTCTCACTGGCACCTCTAGGCTTTGGGATGTACTCACCCAGAATTCCTATTGACTCCTACTAGCCGGAAGATCAGATATCAAACAACAACATCCTAGAAGACTTGGATGCAGAGGGTGTTACATGAATCCGGGCAGGATTGATGCGTGTGCCTGCGTTGCCATCGTCCATTCCTGACAGGCATGGATACACCCGGACTCTGACAAAGCTCTATCCCGTCAAGGGCGACTGTGACAAAGCGTGTGGCGAAGCGGTCATCTACTACACCTACAATCCGGAGCCTTGGCTCAGAGAGATATCTAAACGGGCCGCAGCTCGAGGGGCTCAATTTCTGAATTCACAAGACCAGGGTAACACAGTATAATGCGCTAGTACGTAGAATAATATGATGAACGAAAATGTAACCTTGTATGAAGGGTACACCGCGCGGGTACAGCGCAGCGCCCTCGGTCTAGCGAGCCAGCGGGGAGCTGAATCCACTTGTAGCAGGCTTAGATCAAGCTATCCAAGGCACTGAAGAAGTGTCAGAAAAAGCGGACATGTGCAAGTTTGTCGTTTCGGCGCTTCTCGTAGGTGTCAGGTGAAGCAATCTGCAGACTAGGCGTCGGGATGGTCTGCACTGAATCCGCTGGGGGAAGGCCATACAGGTCACGCATTGTCCAATTCCTATCCAAGCTTTGCAAAGCAATCGTCGCACATCGGCACAAGATCGCCGCAAGACAACCAGAGACTCCATTCGGCCTGAATCGATTACTCATCTAGTCGAAAATACTAGTTTTCTTGTTGATTCGCTTAGTTTCACGAATACCGCTTGACGCATAAGAGGAAGCAGAACCACTATATGTTGTCAAGCAAGACTCCTTACTCAAAAGGGTTTTGCAGCTTCTGAGCACGGTGTGTTGAGGAGTGCCCACCTCAAAGCCCCCAGAGCCCTATGAGCCCTAAGCCCTTTTTAGGTTAGGGCCCATAGGGCCAGAAGCTCTGAGCCCTCAGCCCTGTGAGCCCTACCCAGAAGCCCCAAAGCAGGCAGCAGATCGGGCCGAGACTGCCTTAAAGTCTGCAGACACCACTAAGCCCCTTGAAGAAGTCCGTTCAAAACTCTAGACCACCACAAACCCACAGGAGTTTCCTGCTACGGCCTAGTATACTACCCTACTACACCGCGACGAGCCCGAAGGGAGCACCCTGATACCCGGGCTCCCCCGAAGGAGTGCAGTGCGGCCTTCGCTGGTCCGGAGTCGGTGGAGGCAACGGCGGACGTCATCGCCAATGCTGCGGGGCCTTCAGGGCCCAATGACGAGCCACTTGGCCTTCCGCTTTTGCTTCAAAGCTCTTCGGCTCGTTTCTAGGGTTCTGGAGCATTTCTCGGCTTGTTTTTCCGTCACGTAGAGTTTTTTAGTGTTTGTTTAGGGTTAGGATGTTAGGGCTGAGGGATCCGGACCACTTCGCATCTTGCATGCTACGGTACCACCGTAACTTAATTAAACTGCAGCACTGAGTGCATCATCCTGCAAACGATGACAAGCTGCACCGCTGCCGCGGCTCTCCCAGGTACTTATTCTCTCTGGTGGAGGTGCAATGCCGGGTCAAATGCTGCGGATCCTACGGTACTGTACTGACAACAAGGGAACATGGCCGACCCTAAACCCAAAATGCATACCAAAGTGGAGGCTTTAGGGTTTAGGCTTACAGATTACACGATTTGTTTCATCCGTGAGGCCCTTCAGGAGTTTGGCTTGCCAGAGGACGGCTACCTAGACAAGCTCCTGAGTGCAGTGCGCCGGAGGGCAGCGTGATTCTTCGAGAGTCAAAGAAGGGACAGCCACGGTCAGGTTTGTTCAGGGCTCAGGGGTTTAGGGTTTAGGGTTTAGAATCTAGTTGTCAACGAAGGGAGCTTTCCAGGATCTGTGGTTGAGGACAGCAGCGCGGATTCAGCAGGGGTAGATTGCAAGTTCCGAGCATAAGACTGCACCCTAAAACCGCGTGGTTTTGTTCTGGCAGAACTTGAGAAGCTGATTCTAGTCGTAGAGATACGGGTAGTTCTCTAACTTAGGGTCCCTTCAATTTAGGTTTTTTGGTAAGAGTGCCGTGCAATTTTGGGGATCTAAGAAGGGACCCCCAGTAAAATTTAGAGAACAACCCATACAGCCGTGGTATTGCACTGCAAAACAGCCGACAGCATAGCCTATTCCCCTAAACCCTAAACCTTAAACCACCCTTCCCAACCAAGTGAGGCCTTCGAGATGGCCACCGCACGGCCGAAGGTTGAGAATACATCAGGAAGAGCCTTGGGGCCACCCCTAAACCCAATCTACGAGCCGTAGCAGTAATGCTATGAAGTTGGGACCCTACGGAATTTTAAGGAATCATATTGCATATTGTTCAGGCTTCTACATGGAACCCCGACATTTGCATGGCGAGGCGTTTTCACATGCGAGGGATGGGGCAACAGACAGCCCGACGAGGAAGGCTTCTTGCCAAGCTGGAAACTAGGTCCGGATAGTCAGTAATGATATTTTTTTGCAGTCCCTCATGTGCGTTTCTGCATAACTACCAGTCTTTGGTTCTCTGTACAGACGCCTGAAATGCTGTAGTGTATCATACCCCCTAGTAGTCCCAACACACATACACAGACGCACACCATTCCAATTATCGAAGGGCCCTTTCTCAGGTTGTCATGATCTCTGTGATGCAAAGCTGTGTCAGTGGTTGCCGCAGGCTGCATGAGGGAGAAACACGCGCCCTTTGTCACGGGGATCAGGCACGGCTGATAAGCACGATTGCCTTAGTTAGGCTGGACTCAGTGAAAGACTGCTCTGGTCTGCTCTGGTCTTCATGGCATATATCGGGATTCAACTGCTGGTTCATGGAAGTACGGTGTGTGGCCAAGATATTTATACTGTATTGTTCAACTCCACCTGACCTGCGAGATCTCGTTGGTGAACCCGCCGCACTCCTCTGCAGAAGGAGATGAGAACAAGGCGGGCCAAGCAAGCTTGCCGGGTGCAGAGTTACGCACTTCGGCAGAAGAGCCCAAACCCCGAAGCCCCCAGAGCCCTGATGAGCCCTGACCCACAAACCCTAAATCCAAACCCCCTTGTGTATGAATCCAAAGCCCGAAGCCCTAGACTCCTAGACCCGTCATCCCACGTGCTGACAGGCCTTTGCTGTTTTCGTCTTTCGGGAAACCTCGCCGCAGGAGACGGGTGGAGCGTTCACAGGAAACACGTTTTAGGTCACAAGAGTTTAGGGTAAAGAAGGTGAAGTGGCTGGGCTCAGGTGATTAGGGTCTTAAGATACTGCAACGTTCATGAGAGATCAGAATAGGCAGCAAAGGTATTTTCGTGAGGTTCCCATATCCATACATAACATACACCGAAACCCTACTCTACCTTTGAAGGGCCCCTCTGTTATGTAGAGTGTGCTGAGGCGTTATAGGGTTTCAAGTCTCAGGTTTCAAACAGTAGTGCTCAGGCACCTGTATTAACATTGCGTTAGCTGTATAGTCTTGCGAAGCCCCACGAAAAGCCTTAATAAATCCCGAATTTTACACCTTCTGTCAACTTTCAAGCCGTCGTTGAAAGACTCCTATAGACTAAGAAAGGCAACATACTGAGCCCATAAACTAACCCCTCAGAGAGCCCTTGAGAGGAGCCCTTAAAGGAACCCTGAAAGGAACTGGCACCTTGTTTAGGCTCGCTTTGGCCCTCTTCTGTGTCCTTGTCGGAAACAATTTTGCGTGTTTGTCAAAATAAACCCCAATTAGGATTAAAGATGATCAATTTTTCATGTGGCCCCAACAGGGGACCAGTCTTTGCACGCGAGGAGATGATGGCACCAGCTTTGAAGCGCCGCAGGCCGGGACTTTGGGCGTTTCGATGGGTTTCGGGTTTAGAGGGATGTAGGGTTCAGGGTTTACGGGGTTCAGAGGGTTCAGAGTTTAGGGGTAAGGTGTGCGCGCTTGCATTAAGGCTTTCGGGTTTAGGATGTGGAGTTTGGCGCTTTAGGGCCTCGGATTTCGGGTGCAGGGTTTCAGGGTTTCGGGTTGAGCGGTTACGGTTTGGGGTATAGGTTGTAACTTATGTAACTATTGTCAAATTGTTGCCCCCAAAACCCTGTTCGAATGACTAATGACTAAGGCCCCTAGATTAAACCCTACGAGTGGCCGGGGGTTTAGGGAAAATGGAGCCTTAGGGGGGCCTTCAGGATGCCACCGACGTAGAAGGGGCCCCAGGCGCTCTTCGACTCAGTGCTGTGAGGCATCCAGTTTTTTTTTGTGGGAAGGCGAGCCCCAAACCCTAAACCCTGAACCCTAAACCCTAAGCCCTAAACCCCTAAACCCTATAAACCCTAAACCCCCAAACCCTAAGGATCTTTTTTCTGAAGGCCTCCGAGTTCGAAAAACGCCCTCGGATCTCGCCAGGATCTGCCCGGAGGGCGTCGACCCCGGGGCCACGGTTCCAGGCCTAGGAAGATCCCCTCAAAAGGGGGGTTCCTTTAAGGAGCTACCTTAGGGTTCGTTTACGGGCTCCCTTAAGGGGCTACCTTAGGGTCCCTTAAGGGGCTACCTTAGGATTCGTTCAAGGGTTCCCTTTAAAGGGGTTCCTTCAAAGGGGCTCCTTAAAAGGGGTTCCTTAAAGGGGTCTTTTAAGGGGATCCTTACAAGGGGTTCCTTAAAGGGGTTCTCCTAAGGGGATCGCTAAATGGGGTTCCTTAAATTTGAAGGGGTTCCTTAAAGGGTTCTCCCGAGGGGGTCCTTAAAAGGGGTTCCCTTTAAAGGGGGTTCCTTAAAGGGTTCTCCTGAAGGTTCCTTTAAAAGGGTTCCTTAAAGGGGTTCTCCTGAGAGGATCCTCAAAAGGGGTTCCTTAAAGGGATCCTCAAAAGGGGTTCCTTAAAAGGGGTTCCTTAAAGGGTTCTCCTAAGGGGATCCTTAAAAGGGGTTCCTTGAAGGGTTCTCCTAAGAGGATCCTTAAAAGGGGTTCCTTAAAGGGGTTCTCCTAAGAGGATCCTTAGAAGGGGTTCCTTAAAGGGTTCTCCTAAGGGGATCCTTAAAAGGGGTTCCTTAAAGGGGCTCTCCTAAGAGGATCCTTAAAGGGGGTTCCTTTGAAGGGGGTTCCTTAAAGGGTTCTCCTAAGGGGATCCTTAAAAGGGGTTCCTTAAAGGGTTCTCATAAGAGGATCCTTAAAAGGGGCTCCTTAAAGGGGTTCTCCTAGGAGGATCCTTAAAAGGGGTTCCTTAAAGGGTTCTCCTAAGAGGATCCTTAAAAGGGGTTCCTTAAAGGGGTTCTCCTAAGAGGATCCTTAAAAGGGGTTCCTTTGAAGGGGGTTCCTTAAAGGGTTCTCCTAAGGGGATCCTTAAAAGGGGTTCCTTAAATTTGAAGGGGTTCCTTAAAGGGTTCTCCCGAGGGGGTCCTTAAAAGGGGTTCCTTTGAAGGGGGTTCCTTGAAGGGTTCTCCTGAAGGTTCCTTTAAAGGGGGGTTCTCCTAAGGGTTCCTTTAACGGGGTTCCCCTTAATGGGTTCCTTTAAGGGTTCCCTTTAAGGGGTTCCCTTTAAGGGGTTCCTTTAAAGGGGTTCCTTTAGGGGGGTTCCTTAAAGGGTTCCCCTAAAAGTTCCTTAAGAGGGTTCCTTTGAAGGGGTCCTTTCAGGTTTCCTTTAAGGGATCCTCTATAGAGGGTTCCTTTTCAGGGATCCTTTTAAGGGTTCTATAAGGAATGCGTTTAGCTTCGTTGAGGGTTCAAGGTTTCGGGTTTAGGATTTGGGGCTTCAGGTCTAGAGCGCGGGGTTAGGGTCCGGTTTCGATGAAGGGTTTGGGGTTCCCATCATCTTTTTCTAAGATCTACAATGCCCTCCCATTGACTTGAGGGAGGGGGTTGTTCATCAGAGGATGAAGCATGAGACGGCAAGCCCTATAAGGTTTCAAGCTGGCCTAAACCCTAGACCGTTAAACCCCACCCCCCAAGCTCAATCTCCTAAACCCCCTACACTCTAACCCTGAACCCTAAACCCCAAACCACCCATTGCCCCACCCACCCACCCGCCCGCCGGACCACACGCACGCACCCCACCTAGCCCAGCCCAGCCCAGCCCAGCCCAGCCCAGCCCAGCCCAGCCCAGCCCAGCCCAGCCCACCCCAGCCCACCCCACCCCACCCACCCACCCGGAGCTTCTTGGATGTGCTGAGGCAAGGGTCTTCCGGAGAGGCACGGCACTGAAGCTTTTTTTCGAATCCCACCAATCTCGAAATTTATCAGTCACAGCGTGAAAACGGCTCCGGATGGGAACGACGCCAAGTACTTCTTGTGCAAGCCTTTCTGTCTTGCAGCTGCTTGCATGCCTGGCAGAAATCGGGCCGTGGGCCTCTGGGAACATCACTTGCCTTACACCCTAAACTTCACAGGGATGATAAGGGCCGGGACCCCTGTGGGTTGCACTGTTGCCGAATGGGCGTTTTGCGGTCCAATGGGGCCCAATGGGGCCTAATTGGGGGGCAAATGGGTTACATTGGGGTTGTTTGGGCCGCAGCACGCCCATTCGGCAAAAGTGCAACCCACAGGGGTCCGCTGCACAGGGGCGCCTTATCAAGCCCGAAAATCCTAGGTTCGCATGGGGCTCTCTGGATCCCTTGATGCTCACACACGATTTGTTGCCGCAAGGTTCGAGACGTGGATCTTCACTTCCGCCTCAAACCCTGGACCCTAATCTCCCTAAACTACTTATAAACCCTGAACCGAAAACACTAAGTGATAAGTTCTAAACCCTGGAACCCGAAGTTATAAACCCTGAACCTTTAAACCCGAACCCTCGACCCTATGAGCGGGCCCTAGAGCACTCCTCACCTGAGCGTTTTTAGCATAACCTCTGCTTTTGCCACAGGAGAGCAGGTAAGCCTAAACCAAAAAACCTTCAAAGCCTATTTCAAAGCCGTTGTATCGCAGGTGATTTTTACGCCTTAACCTCGAGGCCCTATTCTACGTGTTACAAAGTAAAGCCATAGTGAACCCTAAACCCGACGTCCTAAGCCCCTTAACGCCTCCCCTAATCCCGGATGCGAAACCCTTTGCGGAAAGCAGGTGGGCCCGATTGCTGTCAGGCCCGGATTGGGCAGTGGGGCACGAGTCTGCGCGGATGTTAGGGGTTCAGGGTTTAAGGGTTGATGGCTTTCGGGGGTTTGGGGGTCAAGGGGGCTGAGGTGTGATGTTTGGGGGTGTAGGGATTCAGGGGTGCTAGGGTTTGCGACATGAGGTTTTCGGTCTTACGGGTTTATGGTGCTTACGGCTTACGGTTTAGGCTTTCAGGGTTTTGGGTCAAGAGTCTCGCGAACGACCATCTCACCCTCTACCCGTTCAAGGCTAAAATATTCAACCGCAAACGCAGTAAAGTAAAGTTTCTGGGAGGCCAAAGAGCCTGGGAGCATCAATGATGAAAACCTCGTGACAGAGGAAGAAGTTCGCAGCAGATGGGCAGCTTGGATGCAAAGTTGGCCACTGGTGGCCAGTGTAGCAGTGAATAGGAACTGTTTTGCCGCATCTTCTCTAGCACAGGCATGCCAAGGCCAGAGGCATCACCGATGATCAGAGATAGAGGTTTGAAAAATGATCACCTGGTAATAGTATTTGTATTTTTTTATCGTTGTTAGATATACGCCCCAGAAGCTATTCTGATTACCTGCATCATCCTGGCCTTTGCCCAGGATTTGCGGACGCTTCTGGGCAAAGGAAGCTTCAGTGAAGTGAGGCTGTCCCAGCAAAATCGGTGGGAGCTGCAGAAAGTAAGGGACTGCAATCTAAACCTTAATTATTAATCATGTACAAGGATTCCCAATACAAGGATCTCGAATACGTACTCGAGAGCGCAATAGAAGGAACCTGTTGTTTGTGACACCCGACCTCAGCTTTGCAACTCTAAACCCAAACCCCTAAACCCGAAACTCTAAACCCTTAACCCTAAAACCTAAACATTAGCCACGGCAGCCCAGCTCTTAGCCGCAGGTTGGGGATTCGAGTCGCTGGAGGCCAGCGGCAAGCCGTGAAGGCCTACGAAAAGGGTACTATACGGGGGACTATAGGGGGTATCTTAAGGGGCATTTTAGCTAGCAAGGGTCCTTTTCCATTTCAGCCCGGACAGGTTCACACCCCGACATACACACAATTTCCCTGAGGCCTGGCAACTCAACCGTTCCTGATACGATGTTACTGAGCTGCTACAGCATAGCCACTTATCATACTCTGAGCATTGTCGGTTGCACAGTCCGCCTAAACTACTGCATGCATTCTACAGTGCTTCCCCATAGTAAGTTTGTACTACAAACATTAGCCCTCAATTTGGGATGCATCGGCAACGGGCGACCTCGTCATTGAGACGTTGCGCCTTCAAGCAGACCAAGTGAACTTGCTTTGCTGGTCAGTCAGAGGAGCCTTCGAGAAAGCTCGTGACAACATGCCAACAACCCTTGGCTGCAGGATTTTGTTGTTTCACCATTTCTGCCCATGGCACAGACTCTCTCGGAGAGTTCTGATGAGACTGCCGAGCCTTCAGCCGGATCCTGCAGCTCCACCTGGTCTTCGCTGTGAGCGCCGTGCTTACATATTTGCTGTTTCCGCAGGCCGAGCATGTGCGGGTATCCTGTCCCTCATTGGACAGATTCTCTTTTGTCGGGCTCATGCTTGCCAGTCTGGTATCTGGTTGCGGGGCAGCATTTCTCAAAAAAAGGGCTGGAGCTTCAACTCATGTCAGGTCGGCTTGTGGCTATGCAGTCATAAATTGGTGTCAATCTGTATTCGCCGCTCTGACCTTGACATTGGACATCGATCTTCGATATCTGGGACGGGAGGACTCGTACAAGTTCGGGTGCAGATATGGTCTCATGCCCTACGCAGATGGGACTTGGGCTTGGGTCTGCAACTCCCTTCGGCTGCTGTTTTTTTTGACTAGTTTGGTTTGGATGCAGTGTGTTGTGGCTAGGCGGATTGACCTCCTGGAGCAAACATCCCATCAGACGTTCTACAGCGATTGTTTTCGTGGGCTTGTTGCTGGGCAAGCCCTCTGGGCCATTGTGGTTGCGCTTGTGCTATGCCCCTGGGCCTGGGTTAGCTTGATTGACGGCGGTGCACCGTGGTACTTGGGTTTGGCTGGAATCTCAGCATCTGTGATTACTTGGCTCCTCAACGTGGCAGCAAGCATAAGGGCGATGTGCTGCCTCACACGATGCTTCCTCTTGTTGCGGAGCATTTTGCGCTTCGCACGGCTTGAAGACACATCAACTGCTGCACGTCTGTCTCTGAGGCGCGCCCAAACTTTCGCCCTTTTGCAGACTACGGGTGTATCCTTCAGCCTTGTGCTCACGATTTTAGTAGTACCAGCAGCGCTTGTGACTACCTTGCCTCCTCTTACAAGTGCTTTTGAAGAAGAGTGGCTGGTAGTGGCGGTCTCAATTCAGGCTCTCGATTCTCTGGGAAACGCGGCGGCTGCCGTGCTACTTTCTGGCAGCCACAGGTTGCATAAGGAAAACAGGCCATATAGCTATCCCAACCAGCCTGGCCAAAGCAGTCAATGGATGTCTTGCTTGATATGCACGCAGCCCAGAGCAGTAACAACAATGGAGACAACATGGAGCCTAGCCTGGAAAGCAAAAGTTGCAGAACTCTCGCTGCGAGGGATGACTTTGCGTAGCCTTCTCCTGTTTTATCAGGACCACCTGCCTTCAATGCCTGGCTGGAGATATGCACCCAAGGACCACAAAACTAAAGATGTGGTTCGCAGGGCAATCATTCCTCTTACAAGCAGAGAAGAGTCTTCTTATGCTGTTTCAGCGTTAAACAGGGATGGTGCTCGAAGGGCTGCCATCATGGTGACCCATAATTGGGGAAACAACTTCAAAGACCTCCTTGCGGCCATAGTCTCGGATGCTCTTCAGGAATGCAGCTTCAATTTGGCAGCAAGGCTTCTGGAGGAAGACGTAGCACTGATGTCCACGATCCTGTCTGACAGTGGACGTTTGGATGATACGTATTGGGTCTGCGCTTTTGCGGTGAACCAACATACCAGCATCTGCCATACGAACCCTAAGAACCGCGATCCTTTTACGGATGAGCTGCATCCAGTGTGCAGCTGCAGTAGCGTGAATATCTCTGATCCGGATGGCCAATGCACCTTGTCCGAGATCAACAAATTCGACGACATGATGTATCTTCTTGCAGCAACCGGAGGCTGCAGGCAAGTGATTGCGGTGGACCAGTCCCTCGACTTGTTCAAGCGTGCATGGTGCGTCGCGGAAATTGCAGAAGCAAAGCGTCTACAAATGACTCAACAATTAAAGCTCTCCTCCATTGCAACCATCCTGCAACGTGCACACACGTTAAGCAACTTGGATGTTGGGAAAATGGAGGCATCCTGTGAGAAGGACAGGGAACTCATCTTGAAAAAAATCGAAGGGAACATGACCCTCGACCAGTTCAATGCAGAGCTGCGATCGCTCATATTCGACCCAAGGTCCGGCCTTTTGACAGCCTGGAGAGACATGGATAGTGTGCAGCAAATCGGAGAAGTCGGCCGGCTAATTCGATGGGGCCTTGCTGATGCAGGCACTGGGAAAGTCTGGAAAGCATGGGAAGCCCAGGAATGATCCCGTCTGCCAATTTAAACCAAGTTTGTGCATCATAACAGAGACATGCTTGTTCATGTGTCACAAGCCGACGCAGACCGCAACACTCTGTCTTGAAAGCATTTCAATGCTGAGCAGGAGAACCTCATGAACATTGCAAACCCAAATGAGAGCATCCTGTGCAAAAAGAAGTGCTGTGTGAGGGCATGGCACTGCTTCACAACCCCTCCTTCCCTGACCCCTAAACCCTGAACACCGGAAAAAAACAAAGCTGTTTGACACAACCGGCAACTGCCGGAGGTTGTGAACCGCAGCGGCTTCGAGTCCTTCCAGTCCAGCCGAAGGAGCCGGCGCGGATCTTGGCCCCCTGTGTGTCAACTGCCCTCTTATTACCGCGATACTTGGAGCACATACGCCCTGAACCCCAAGCCCACTCCTAAACTCTAAAGGCCCTAAACCCTAAACCTAAACCTTTAACGTGCAGTGGTGAGCTGTCGAGGCTCAACTTGGTCAGTGAAGCAAAGCTGCTGCTGAGCTTGGACCATCCAGGCCAGTGTTGTTACAACCCACATCTGGCTTCAGAAAGTCCTGGCGCGGCAAAGTACAGAGAACCTGGAGCAGGAGCACAAACGTCGTACTGTGCTGAGTGTTTAACTCATCGCCACCCCTGCAGGTGTTGTCAAATGCAGCGAATGGTTCCAAACCACGAGGAGCCTTTACCTGGCAGCTGCCTGAGGGTTCTTGGGAGATTCTGTGACTGCCCTGGAGATCGCTAGAGCACCTGCTCGCAGAAAGGGGGTGTCAGCTGACCAGGGGGAGGCTTCAGGCCGCGGCTGCTTGCGCAGTGGAGTGCTGGATTCTCAAAGAAGTCTTAAGTGGTCCTTTGCAAACCTCCTCTCGACGGGTTGGAGGATTCTTCATCACAGCCCCTTATTGAGCCGGGGACGCCGAAGTTACAGAACTGCCCCCAACCCAGGGCCACAAGCCTTAGGTAATGGAGCTCGTGGAAGGGGGTGATATGCTCAAGAACATCATCAACAATGGCCGAGGGCCCCAGATCACTTGAGATGCTTTAGGGCTTCAGGGTTCGGGTTCCAAATTGACCAGAAGCTTATTTGACATGCGAGCTCCCAATACTGGGGTTACCGCTTCAGGGCTTCTGCGTACAAGCACGAAGAGGCTGTTTGTTTGGTTCGACAGTAGCAGCTAAAAAGAGTCATAGTAATGTGGTATCTTCACGACTATTCTGGAAAGCCCAAGCCGAAAATGCGGTATTGTGTCGTTACAGGAGTTTGCGACATCAGCAGGTTCCACGTATGCTTCTACGATAGTAGAGAAATCCCTACACCCTATTCAGCCCTACTCTAATCCTTACAGCTGCGACATTGACTTTGTTGGCTTCGAGGGGTCCAGCACTGCAATCGGGCCATGAGGTGGAAAGCGCAGAACCGTCGGAGTAGAATCGTGCAACTCCAAAGGGCCTGGAGAGGCCAGGCGCAGAGATGCAGAAGATAAGGTAGACACTGCCTCCAGCTTAGGGTTTAGGGTTTAGGGTTTTAGGGTTTTAGGGTTTACGGTTTTAGGGTTTAGGGTTTTAGGGTTTAGGGTTTTGGGGTTTTAGGGGCAGGGCATGTAAGCCAAAAGACGACAGAGCCTTAACCCACAAATCCTAAACCCCAAACCTCTAAAATTCTCGAAGCGCCCAAGCCAACAAAGAATCGCCAGATCGATCAAGGTGCCTTCTTAACGCGCTTCCTATGGTCTAGGGCACAAGCGCACTGTCTAGTGATTGTTGTATTTATTAGCCATGGTTCCTGAGTATATTTATACCTCCAGTCTCTGTAGTTTACTGTGCTATACTCCAGAGCCCTGTCTGAATCACGGTTTAGGGCTTATAAGGAGCTTAATTTAGGACCTTAAACCCTATCTTGATTATTAATGCGTTAGGGGCTATGAGGACCTTAATTTAGGACCTTAAACCCTATCTTAAGTGTTAATGGTCTAGGGCCGATAAGGACCTTAGGACCTTAAACCCTCTCTTTATCATGGTTTTATAGGGCTTCTAAGGGCCTTCATTTAGGGCCTTAAACCCTATCTGCATCATGGTTTCAGAGGGCTTATAAGGACCTTATTTTAGGACCTCAACCCCTATCTTAATCATGGTTTACAGGGCTTAATTCTAAGGACCTTAGGACCTTAAACCCTCTCTTTATCATGGTTTAGGGCTTAATCATGCGGAACCCTAAACCCTAAACCGTAAACCCTAAACCCTAAACCCTAAAAAAAAAAAACCCTAAACCCTAAATTCTCAGGGCTACCCCGAGCAGCCCCGCGACTCTGAAGGCGAGTTCTGCGAGGATCACGCTCGGCGGCTGTTTCGCGACATCTCCGAGGCCGGCGTGGCCTTAGGGTTTAGGGGTTTAGGGGTTTGGAGGTTTTGGGGGTTTGGGGGTTTGGGGTTTTAGGGTTTAGGGGTTTAGGGGTTTAGGTTTAAGGGTTTTAGGGCTTTTAGGGTTTAGGATTCAGTGCATCTCCCAGCTTCAAGCTGTCACTCGTGATGATAGGCCCTAAGCCTTAAGCCCGACCATGACGCAAGGATCGTAGTATGGATCTTCATTGTCCTAGTGGTCGGAGCCATCGGCAGCCGTTTGCATCCCCCATAGAGTCCCTGCACGTTTGCAGTGATTATGATGTAGCCGCCTCCAAACCTTTTCTAACTATCTAGGCCACGCTTTTGAGACGTCCCATGGCGTCATGCAGTCCGTGGCATTGCATATGCTGCGCACTAGTGCAGACGCATGCACAATCTGCACAGTCCCACGACATCAGATTTTGCAGGCCGTTGCATATCTCCACAGCCGTGATGTTGTACACAGGCCGGGTTGACCAGTGCACACTGGCTCAATGCACGTGCTGACCTTGCCGTGAGTAGATCTCCCAGTGCTTGCTCATATGTAACTGCTGCTGAAGCCCCTGCCTCGACTAGATGCACAGGAAACCTAAACCCTAAACCCTAAATCCCTACACCCTAAACCTCCATGCAGGGATTTGAAGCCCGACAACGTCCTCCTCACGAACGAAGACAGGTCTTCCCGTCCCAGGGGGGGGAAGAGAGCGGGTGAGAAGAGGAGATGCAGGGGGGCAGTGAAGGGCTCTTTTGGCCTCAGGGTTTTAAGCTCTGACCTTGCTTTTCTCCAGAGCTACATGGGTTGCCGGCGACTCGTGACCGCTTGTGTCTTGTTACAATGCCTCGCGGGGGAAGCCATCGCCGACTTGGGGACATCTGTCAAATCTTTGTCCTGTTCAAGACTCAAGAAAGTCCTGACTGATGTGCTGGCACATGCTGGAGTGCCAGTGTGACGATGCTTGGAGAGGGGGCTGCATTTTTTCCTCGCTCTCAGTGGCGCTGTGCATTCTTGCACATGTGTTCAGACCTCGGCATAGGTTGGATAAGACAGATGATCAATGCCACTGGGGATACCGGCTGTCCTGGCATCGGTTTCTGTCCCTTGATCAGTCTTGCCTTGCACAACTCGGGGCCCTACCCACCGGGAGTTGGCTGCACCTTTCATCAACTCTCGGAACACCGCTGGCCGGGTGTGAGGGCACGTGAGATGCCAACATATCGACCAAGTAGGTCGCGGGCCGCTCGCGGACCGCCGCTTGGTTGCCCTTTGTCCAGGTGCAGGACATGACAGCAGCACGGACGTAACGTGCCTGCTGGGGGGGCGGCAGATCATGGCAGGGGAGGCCCGTTCAAACTTTTGAGACTGCTCCCGATCACCTCGTGTGCGTGTGTGCGTGGTTGTTGTATGGTAAGTTATTCAGTGATGTCAGGGTCGCGTGCATTGCACCCGCTGTGTATGAAATCGTGGTTGGAGTTTTTGAGTGTGTACCTGTTTCGCTCTTTGTTTGCATAGCTGTATCCTTGTCAAGGTTTGCACATGTCTTTGAATGAAGGCAGGCAAGACAAAGCGCTTCAGCACACCTCATTGGGCAGACGCAATAGAATCTAGGGACACGCGCTACAACTCTTACATGCGGGCGCTGCATAGACATCATTGTTAGTATACTTTCCAGAAGGGGCCATGAACCGGCACAGCGAGACCCTCGACAAAGTCACCATGCTGTTGGCACAGTTCGTGTCGCTTGTGTCCGTGCTTGAGTTTGGTGTTTCCATGCACGTGCAGGAACCGAATACTACATGATACTCAGCTACTACGTTCGCTCGTGCGCCTGCTACCTTGCCACATGTGGGCAATGCCACTCGGCTGTCCTTGCATCGGTTTCTGTCCCTTGATCAGTCTTGCCTTGCATAACTCGGGGCCCTACCCACCGGGAGTTGGCTGCACCTTTCATCAACTCTCGGAACACCGCTGGCCGGGTGTGAGGGCACATGAGATGCCAAGATATCGACCAAGTAGGTCGCGGGCCGCTCGCGGACCGCCACTTGGTTGCCCTTTGTCCAGGTGCAGGACATGACAGCAGCACGGACGTAACGTGCC